GAACGCGTCGGGTTCTGGGAGCGTATCCTAGAGTAGTATCTGACCGAGGCGCCCATTGCTGGCCACCACGGCCTTGTTGTCCTTGCCGCGCTTCATTTCGCTCTCCAACACAAAGCCGATGCGGTGCGCTACACACCCTCAACGTGATTAACTCGTCTTCAACATACACCGCTCTGAACCTTGATTCAACAATCAATGTCACTGCCCCCTGGCGTGAGTGAGACTGGGGTCGTTTCCGTGGCGGACTGGATCCCACCGCCGATCGAACAACTCAACTTTACACGCAACTGCGACCTCGTCAAGGAATTCTACGGAAGCTGGTTCCAACGACTTGTCGAACTAGGACCAGGCGAGGATAAATATGCACTCTACGACCTGCCCTTCAGTGACATGGAACCGTCCTTTTTCGTGGCAGACTCAGTCGACAGCAAGGCCGCCGAAGCTTACTTCCGAAATGCCCTCCCCCCAGAGATGCAAAATGTGCCGAGCTACGGCCAGATGCTCGACTGGGAGTTGGCCCTGCGCACCAACTTTTCTCAGTCGCTCCCGGCTCTCGCCGCTCTGAGGCCGCCGCCTGATTCCGGCCCGCTAGAATGGTTTCTCAACGACAGCTATCAGGCTCCCTACTTCACTCGTGTCATCCGTGATCCCGGCCAGACTTGCCAGCGCGAGGCCTGCAGCAGCTTTCGGTGGGACCGACTGATCGACATCAACGGCCCCGGCATGTACATTGTGTACTGGTTCCAGGTCGTCAGCATGCTCCTGGCTTCGGCCGTCGTCGTCTACGAGCTCTGGCTGACGCGATCGAGGACGCTACGGCAATGCCGGTCGGTGCGGCATCCGGCGTACCGCTGCTTTCGCCGCACTCTAGATTCGATTATACAAGGGGCAGCTTTTTTCTTTGCCGCAGCGCCATTTGCTCTGTTTGTCGACTACCAAAGGAAAGGGCCGCACTTTTTCCCTCCGAACGACCAAAACATTGCCCTCGTCATCTCAAGTCTGTCTCTTGTGATGTTGTTCTGGTCATGGCGGGTCAACCGTTGCTTCGCGGCCATCGACTTAGTCAAGGGAGGGTCTCTCGTCGACTCACAGCTTAGCGATCTTCCTCTCGTCTGCTTCGTCATCGCCGTTCCCTCTGTAGGATTGCTGCAGTGGATTCGCGCAGGCACGGCTACATCTACATCTACAGCCATTGATGCTTTCAACTTTGACGGCTTCAGCGGCTTGATTTGCGGAGGCGTCCGGCGTCACATGCAGATATATTACGAGACAGATACCCCGGGACGTGCCAACACCAACCCCCTTTTCATCACCACGCGACTCGCCATCACCGTCTTCTCTTACGCAGCCGCTCGGTTCTTTTGGGAAGGACTTGCCGTACGCTCAGCAGTAGCAAGATTTTCCCCTTGGGAGAGGTTTAGGAACCATTATGCGCTAGTGGTCAACGACGCTCTCATGTCCCCCACCGACCCGACGCGACCCCTGTGGCAGCGAGTCGACAGAGAGCTCGACAGCGTTGCAAATGCCATCTACCAAGACCCAAGAACGAGCGCACACATTTGGCACCTGGGATACGGCGAGATGATTGGCAGCTCGGCCGTCTGTCTGTATGCCCTGATATCATACAATCCATGGCGAGCCGTACAAGTCGAATGGCGCCAATCGGGCGAAGAATGGAACCTCGGTCAGATTCTAGCCCTGGTAACGCTGGCCCCGACGGTTGTGATGCTTCTAACATCTTTTGGTAAGTCCAATTGCACCGAGACTCGGGACTAGGGAGGTGGGAAGCAGCCGACTAATTAATAATTTGACTGCTGACGCAAAATAAACCCAACAGAGTTCTCAGTCGCTAAGTTTCCTGTTGTCGTGGTAGAAAAGGGTCCATTAGTTGGAGCTGGGACGGTGGGTCAAGAGGAAGTGAATGTGCTAGTCTTTCTACGTAACTACAAGCGACGTTGGGTAGCACGGCGTCTTATTAATCTATATAGAAGGCAATTTGAGGGGCAAGGGCACGAGATGAATGATGTAATAGATAGAAGGGCTCTCCTGCCTCAACCCGTATCACGATGGGGATGAGAGAGAGAGGGAATAGACCCTAGGATACTATCGTTCAACGTGAGCGATGGCGTTGTTTTTAGTGTCAAGGCATTGATTACCTCTTGGACTACTAATATTAGTTTATCTGTTTACTTCTAACTACACTATCACGTATATTATTGTAACGGTCTCAGGTAGTATATTGCAACTAGCTGATGACGACTCTACGAGTACACTGAACTTGGAGAATGTGACGAATCTCAAAGCCCCAACTTCTGAAAGGGACTCCTGAAGGTTATACTTGACAACGGGGTGAGGTTCGGTGAAGCCAAAGGGTTCACAACAAGCAATGTCCAAGGGTACTGACAATCTTGCACTTGAGTTGCTTACTGGA